GGCTGTGCTTCTTCTCTCAGACCCTCTATATGAAAAATCTGTTCCTGAATAACTAAGATGTTTTAAGACCAATCTTAATGGAGTTTTCAGTTTGTAGATATGGCAATCAATTGTCAGCACATACCAAAGCCCAATGCTATACCACAAGAAATTCGTTTTCTCTTATGGAGGAAGCTAGCAAAATGTTCCCTTCTCTGTGTATACTCTGCGATAGCCTCTCTCTCCCTCTCTTGTTCTCTCTCTCTCTCTCTCTCTAGCTCTTTGAAGCGCTGCGATACATATCGATTTTCGAGAAACATCGCTAATTTTGATAATTTAAGCTTTTGAAATTTGACTGCAGACGGAGGGACGCATCTTCTACTGATGGTGACCAGGCAAATATGTGCTTGATGAGATTGTAGATGCCTCCGGCTGCCTGTTATATACTTATGCACAAAAACATAATACCCTTTCTGAGCCGTATTCAATGTGAACAGGGTATAACAACGCTGGCAACTAACTTAAGTAGCGGTAGCAACAGGCTACTAACATGTTTATGCTACTTTTATGAGGTGGCAATAAAATCGAACCAAGTACGAAAATAAAAATGAAGAAGGCAAAGGCAAAACGGGCGTCGGTTAATATGCGCTCACCCACTCGCACTCGCTGTCGTAGGCGCTGCGCCTCAATGTGGCTCCTTTTCACACACACACACACGCGCGGCTGGCCGGCCTGGCTGACTGGCCGGCAGGATAGCCGCTCACACAATGACTTCATCGATTTATAGCGGTCACGAGTGACGACGACTTGGTCTTGGTTTGGGTTTGCGTTTTGGGTTTTGGGTTTTGAGCTGGGCCTGGCAGGCCGGACACTGGGCACTGGGCACTGGGCAGTGGCCAGTGGGCATCGGTGCCTAAGATTGCCTTGGTTTTGGTTTTGGTTTTTGGTTCGCTCTCGGATATGGGCGACTTGCGCTGCGTTTTTATGATGATATTGTTTTGCATTTTGCACATAGGACTTTTGTTTTTCGCACTCGGTTTCGTTTTCGTTTGCGTTCGGTGCGTGCGCTGCGTGGATTAAGCCCACGTCTAGGACCGTACACTGCTGTACAGGGTCTGGCGAAATGCGTATTCCTGGAAGCCACCGCCAGAGCCGCTGCATAACTCGCGACGCGCTCTGCGGTCTCATCCACGGCTGCATTTTATGGTCTGTCGTCATAATCACCGGCGCAGCATCTCCATCTCCATCTCCAGCTTGGCAGCATCGACTCTCGCTCTGGCTCTAACTTTGGCTCTAACTTTGGCTCTGTCTGTCTCTGTGGCACCAGTGAAACACTCAACACGGCGTCAGCGTCGTTGTTGTCACTTGATTTATGTTTCTCGGCGATTTGGAAAAACGCAGCCTCCTTAGCTCAGCCCACCCTCTAACATGCCCGCCTGTCGGCCTCATTAGGGGTGCTGCCTCTCGCTGATCTTAACTGTTCAAGATATAATGCTTTTCACCTTAAAGATATTCAAAGATACTACTAATTACATTTACTTGCAGAAACTTTGATTATTCTTGCATGGTTTTGAATCTTTATTAATTATTAATATATGTTGAAATTGCGTTATTAAGTCAATTTTTTAACAAAACATTAACAAAATATTATTATACTTAGTTATAATTATTTTTATTAATATAACCATATAAAAATATTTTGTGAAGTCGATTTTTATATTTAACAATATATTGTTGTTAATATATTTTTTCACAACTATGTATTATATTCTAAAAATATTTTGAAATTAAATTAACTTATGGACTGCCTCTTCTATTTCTTTTTTTAATTTTAAATTCATTTCAAATTCTAATATCATGTAAAATAGTTTCGTTCCAAAAATAAAATTCCTAAAAAATATATATGGCTAATTGAACTTAATTACATGTAATATAAAAAAGCTTATACAAATTGAAATTTATTATGTGTATATTCTATAAAGCAATTGTAATAAATTTTTAATTTCAATGTACTACCATAAAGGAATTAATAATATTCTAGAAAAGATTGCTGAATAGTTTTTTTAGCTATTATTTGGATGTTTCGAGTAGTTTTCGTGAAAGAAGCACCGTTAACACTTCCGTTATGTCGTTGCCTAGGGCCAGTGTTTGCTCCCACATTGGCATTTGGCGGTGCCATTGTTATTAAGGTGTGTGTATGTTGTTGTTGCGGCTGTTGTTGTTGCTGAATGTTGCCTGTGTTGTCTGAGGTCCTTTGTTGCTGCTTCTGTTGTCAACTGAGCAAAACAAATATCAGGAAATGTCATCATTTTGTAAGGCAGAACTAAGCATTGAAAAGGACTTGCCAAAGGAAATTGAATTGAAGAAAATTGACTGAAAGAGCTGCCGACCGAGCGAGGGACGGAGAAAGACAGATAAAGGGAGAGAGAGAGAGAGAGCGCGCACGCAGGACACCATAGGCGAGCCACACATGGCGCAAGTGCCGGAGAGAGCAGAGAGCTGCCTGCTATGACACTCACACAAGCGCAGCGCTTCGCACAAAATGTCAGCTGCGCAGCTGTGCAGTCGCCATCGACGTCGACATCGAGACGTGCCGAGCCGATACGCAGCGCAGCATCTTTCCCTCAATTTTCCCCCCTAGTGCTGTTGTTGTTGTTGCTTTTGACTCGTTTGTTGTATCAGCGTCTTTTCTACTCTTGTCTTGTTTGCATTGTTCTCGCTCAACAGATTTGATCAGTTTTTAATGAACTTCATTCATGTTTGAATGACTTTGATCAGTTCCGCTTTGGCCTCGCCTTGCCTTACCCCTGCCCCTGCCCCTGCCCCTACCCATTGCCGTTGCCGTTGCCTTTGCCCTTCATCTCCTCTTTGGCTCTGGTAAACAATAGCAAATACACAAACCTTTTAAACGCGTGCGCCGATTGTCGCTTACATGTTGTTGCTGTTGCTGTTGTTGTTGTTGCTGTTGCTGTTGCTGTTGTTGCTGTAGGTGTTGCTAGTATTGTGACAGTGACAAGAAGATGCACGCACAATGTGTTTTCTGTGTGTGGGTGTGTCGCTGTCTCCGAGTTAGAAAGTCGCAATGGCGCACGCGGCGTATGTGCAATGCCGACATTCCGCTCAGTCCAGGCTAATCCCGCCAAGCGTCTAAGCCGCTTTGCCCAACATCATCGAAAGTCGACAACGTCAACCTCCAAGCGCATCATCATCATCAGCATCATCTGCATCAGCATCATGCGTCAAGATCAACGAGGCGTACAAAATACTTATTTTCACCAAGTGCCGGCCGACGATGTGGCCCAAAAGAACAACCAACAACAACAATAAACAGTGCCACTTTTAGTTTTGATTGTGCCACAGCAAGAGAGAGAGAAAGACAACAAGAACAAAACTCCGCTCAGAAAGAGACAGACAGCATGAGAGCGAGCGAGCTAGAGGGAGGCAGGTGGTGGCACATCATTGATTGAGGGTCCTTAAAAGGGTACAAATAATCAGAAAATTGTATTAAATGTCCCACATAATGAAATGAAAAAAGCAACCAGCGCAACAGCCAAGCCGAACCGCGACCCGCGACCCGCCACCCGCGACCCCCGCACCCCGAGCCCCGCTTCATAAGCGTCATATAAAAATTGTTATTGTTGCATGTCAGAATCCGCAGCTGGGTCCGACAAATATGTGTTCTGTTAAGACGACGCGCTGAGCGTGATGATGATGATTATCATTATTGAGGCACTCTTGCTTTGATCTCTGGCAACACACATGCGCACACACACACAAGCACACACACTTGCGCCCAGCCCAGCCTTTGGCTAGGCCTCTGGCAGCGCTGCATCCATGGGCGCAGCAAGTGCAGTCGCCGCCAAAGTTGACGCGTTGTGTCATTGTCAAGTGTTGTGCCGTGTGTGGAATCTGCCTCTGCTCTATTTGTATTCATTTGATTTGTGATTAATGCTGGAGTGTGTGGCAGACTGTGAGACTTTAAGAGAGTGCGGCCCTGTGTGTGCGTGTGTGTGTTTATCTTATCCCTACCTGCGTTCCATCTTGACAAAAAATGTGTGTGACGGCATTACACAGCTATTTACAGGGTATCTGCCAGTAAAACACTCGCGACTAGAGAACTGCTTGGCATTTCAAAAGCTAACTAAAGTCTTATCATATTAGCAAATGCACTTTTATGCCGTTCGCATACACGCTGGAGTTAGAATCCCGAACTTCGCTAGCGGCTTCAAAGCTAGAGAGGCCTTGTCTAATTAATAGAGCTGCTGAGATTGACATTTGAGTCAGGCTAATAACAAAAGGCAAACTAAATAATGCTATCCCATTGCGTATACGCCACGTGAGACGTTGTCCAAAGAGATAAAACATTTTAATTTGGGCGATTTGCAATGGTCAATAGTCAACGCTTGAATAGGACACCTGGCGCAGTGGGAGTTAATTGATGCATTGACCAATTGACAAACCTGAGCGACATGTACGTCTGCCTCTCCGCCTGGATGACAGTCTGTAGGTTGCACTGTTGCCTGGTTGGCTGCACAGTTGCCCTTTTTTTTTTTTTGCTGCGGCTGCTGCTCGGCTTGGCTGGGTGGTCCTAGACATGACACTTCAGACATTTTGTCGTTGCCTTGCAAATTGTGCGTAAGACTGAGACACAGGGGCGGCGGGGGCGTGCCGTGCACAGCTGGTCGCTGGCCGCTCGTTGCCGTTGCCGTTGCCAACGCCGACGCCGCCGCCGCCGCTTGTGTAAATATTTCCTCATTTTATTTGTGGCACACAAAAGAAGGAAAAAGCAAATGTGCAGGCGGCCTGGTCATATTGTTTTAACACATTAGCAGCGCAATGCAACAAATAATTTCCATAAAATGCTGCCACGCACGTTGGTCGTGCCCGTAAATGGAGCGGCAACGGCAACGGCAATGGCAACGGCGGCGGCGACGCTAGCTGCGCTGCCAATAGACTTGAAGTCAATTTCAATGCATGAAAGAGATATGTCACAGGAAGAAAATATTAGTCTTTGTCATTAGGCAAAACAAAACAAAACAAAAAGCAAAAAACAGACACAAAAAACACAACAGGCCTCAAAGCAATCCATGGATGGTTGGGTTACAGCTTTGGATGCCGCGCTTCGGGGCGGCCGCCATGGCCCAGAGTCCACGGGCACAGAGAGTGCCAGCTAGAGGCTAGAGCCTGAGGCATCAGGGGTCTGTATGTGGTATGTTTGCCTGATGTTTGCCCACCAACAAAGTTAACACACTGGAAATGTCCAAGAGCCGTTGTTGCCACATTCACATGATTTAAGCAGCAACAACAACAACAACGCCAACAACAACAACCTGAGACAAACTGTTTCCCATCATAAAAACTTCTTCGTCTTCATCTTCATAAAGAGTCCAAAAGTCCAAAAGCGAAGAAAAGAAAAAACGAAAAATAAAAAATAAACCGACTTTAGACAAAGCAAACGAAATTAAAAACGGTTCAAATGCTTTGCTTGTGTAAGCAATTGGCTTGTACACGCCCCGCCCCGCCACGCCCCAACCCCTCTCCGTCCGGGCCATATCGGGTCTCTCTCTCTCTCTCTCTCTCTCTATCTGGCTGTCTCGCCTAGACTTCGGCTACGGAAATGCCACGGGCCTTGGAGCGGGGCTTTCGGACACATTTATAGAGCTGCCAGATCAGCAGCTGTTTAGGATTTTCTACGTACTCGCTTTGTACGTACCCATCCAATAAATGATTGGGAAAATATTGTGATTTTTATTTTGTATTTAGCTTTTTTTTTTGGAAGGGGGCTGCAGCGTGTGGGTGGCCGGTGTGGCAAATCCCCAGCGTCAACTTATGTTAATTGGCATTGTCTGATGCCGTTCGTTGCATATAAATTGACGTATTAGCAAATAACAATTGAAACTGTGCATCTTTTTGGGGCGTGGCACCGTGGGAATCACAGGATGGCAACACTTCGCGTACACAAACTGATTGATGTGAGTTCAGACGCTCGAGTTGTCAAGTACTTAAATGCAATTGTTCTTTTCGTATATTCAATTTATGAATTTTAAGTGCATTACCTTCCGGGGACTCACCCAAAGATATTCAGAGATCAAAACACATGATACTAATTGATTAATCCAAGTAAACAAACTATAAAGTTCAAAAACAGATATTTAAGATGTGTACAGATATATTATGGAAGAAGTCCGTGGAGTATATAGAGAGAATGTATATAAACAACAGCCGAGATCATCTAGCTTTGCTCGGAGACTTTAATATAGCTATTTTAGGGTTATGTACATATATATAAGGGAAGAAGCCCGTAGAGTACATAAAGTGAATATGCTTTGACAGAAGCCAAGTTCATCTATATATACTCGGAGACATAAATATAGCTTTTTTAAGACTGGGAAGTAGCCCGTCAAGTTTGGAAAGTTGTGCCTACTATAACCCGATTAAAAAAAGGAAATCGACGGAATCGATTGAACACGTCCGGGAACCCATTGTCTACGCCCAGCTATGGGTAGAAGCATAGCTTGCCGGGTAGGCTAAAAATTTCCCCCATCGGGTCATTGATTTCCCATCTCAATCTCCTTACCCTATCTACTTAAGATTCTATATTCTATTAACAATTTCCTTACTCTTTTAGATAACTCTTCTCCCGCTTTTCTCATTTATTATAAACTTTTAATTCATATAGCTAATAGGGATTATTTTTAATTGCTACTTAAGAGTACTTTTTCTCACTGACGCCCTCCTTCTTAGCTATAGACTTCAGTTAAGTCACTGACAAAACAAACAAGCAAACGGGCACATAAAGTACCTCCATCGTCATGTCGGTGATGATATTTGAAAATTTTGTATTCAGATGAGGCTCTTAGCTTTTAATTTTTCTTAAGTAACAAATACTTGGGTTGATACTCGTTTTGTTGACCATTAATAAATAAATAAATATGTGTCGCATAATAAGTATCATTATTATTATTATTATTAGGATTAACTACAATACATTCATATTATAAATAATACTATAATTAATTACTACAAAAGAGCTCTAGCGTCCAGGCCTTCAGCTTATAATAAATATAAATATATATAACATAATTTGTTATGCTTATGTCTCGATCTGGCGAGAATATTTCAATTTTTTTAATACCAACTCTTACTCTCCCACATAAAATTGCATTTAAAGAGGTAGAGCCTTGGTCTTTGATTTATGGCTACTATGTTTTTGTAATAAAAAAATCTAAAATGTCACTCTTTAAGCATGGAATTTAAATAAGAATGCATTTACATAGTGTGGTGCTGGGGTAAACTGTATTTGTGCATAGAAGAAAGAACATTATGTTTTCAATGAAAGATCGCTTACAGTTGGGTACGGGGCAACTCATAGTCGAGCACGCTCAGCCTTACAGTAAAAACTGTCTTGGTCGGGCGACGAGCGTTGAGTAGGGAATGGATAGGTGGTTAAATTTACAAAATTTTTTTATATTTAATATTTATAAATACTCGTGTGAGGGAGATCTACTTTAAAGAGGAAAATTACGAAATTATTCTTTCATCATATGTACATATATATGTACATGTACATAATCACACATATGTACAAGTCTTACATAGTTAAATGGATAAAAAAAAAGAAGAATTAAAAGACAACATTTCTGCACCCGTTAAGCACATTTCACAGAAGATGAACAATACTTAAAGCATAGATTTATTAGCTAAAAATATAAATCATAGCTTTAAAAAATCCAAATTGGGAGATTGACGTCGATTTTTGATGCTCTTTTAATACTCTTTAAAAAGTCTGTTTTGCATAAAGTTAAATGAATCGTTTTTCCAAAAAAGGTAAAATTCTAGTTCTAGAGAAAATGTCCGCCCAAGAGGGTTAATCGCCTAAGAGGAGTGTCCGTTAGGAGAGTGTTGACTTTATGTTTACTCGCCTGATCGTTATATTGCCTGCATTTAAGCAACTTAATTCCCTGGCATTTCCTTTTCAATTTTATTAAGATATTTGATTATTTATTTATTCATTTTAGTCTAAATATCCAAATGACTTTCTTCTGTTTTAATATTGATTGATGTATAAATCACACATAAGAATATTTATCCAGAATGTTTATAATAATATTTTATAGATATTTCTAACACAATTGTCTACTTGCCACTTGCCAGCAAAGAGTGGAAAGACTTCGAAAGTAACTGACCTGTTCGTCAGTTGGAGTTGGGGCGTCTTCGGCGCGAACACATTTCCAAGGAAATGGCTAAATGAATGCTGAAATACATATTTGTACAGCGCGAGTGCCTAGGGAGACATTGGCGATAAGATTAGGCATTCAAGGAGTATTCCAGCTAAATCTAGTTCATAAATTCGGCTGACAGTTCGATCAGTAGACGAATTTTTTCAAGTTCTGGGTGCCATATCGAGCGTGTGTTTGCCAAGTGAGACTGATGAATGTCCGGAGTGGTGGTAGCCCACATAATTATGCGGAAACGCTACGAATGTTAGCAAATATTATTGCCCGATAAATTTGCCAACCAATACTTTGACACACATATTTACGTATGTTATTGCACAAATCTGACGGCATACCAAATTTAAATATCTTTTTTTTTTTTTTTTCATTAATTCCCGATTCTTTGACGTAAGTAACAGGGTTTTTTTATAACTTTTTGTTTTTTATATTTTCGCGAAGTTTATTTATATTATTTATTTATATAACGGAAATGCTTGGACACGATTGTCGCAATGTTTCGGCATGTTTTTACACCGGAATTCAGTTTTTTACACACATATGTGCTTTTGATAAGCGCCGATCAAAGGTCAAGTATCTGTTGTACATCAAACGGCGAAAGACACTTTCGATATGGTTTTTCCAGCTGCAGTTAGAAAAAACTTGGATAGATCAACTCAACTGAAAGCTATTGCTGGTATAGGGTATATCCATTCCATGGCTGGAAGCGCTAGACAAATATCTGCTGTACATCAAATGGCAGCAGTGTAAGATATATTCATTCTGTGAGCTAGACAAAATCTTATGCTCATTAGTTGATAGATAAATTGTTGTTATATTGCCTTATATCAAGGAGTATAATATTATCAGAAAATCAATACAAATATAAGTCAGAAAAATCTTAAAATATGAAGAATACTTTTCTAAAGGAATTTAAGGAATAAATGAATAAACTCGAAGATGGCAAACACATTTTCATTTGACAACCTTTTAAGGAATACAAACTGCGCATAATTTACATATTTGCTTAGTAGTTGAGAAAGGCAAGAGTTTGGCTAACATCTACAGTCGAGATATAGTATGGGCATATAAGAAACGCATCACTAAAATCGGCAGCATCAAAAAGAGCCAAAAAAATTTGGCTGCCCGCGTAAATGTGAGGACAAAAGAGTTGAAGATTCAGCAACTGGTGCAATGCATAGGTGACATTCCCTCTAAATTATTATGTTAATTGTCACAACTTTGAGTAGTCTTAGCCATAACTGATCTCAGCTGCGGCTGAAGGCCAAGGCTTGTGTATTTTTCGGGCATTTATTTACTTTATTTTAGCTGACTTACATATTTTTTGTTTTGGTGCTGCGACCAAAAATATTTTGGCCACGTTTTTGGAGTGCCAGCGAGGCGCCCTTAACCAGCTTGAGCGGCGACAGCGACAACAACTTTAAGCTTACTGGCAGTTAATTTTTCTGAGAAAAACGCCAGAGTTTCTCGCAATTTTATGATCAATTCATTGAATTTTTCGCTGTTTTTTTTTTGCAGAGAAATCTCGTCCACATGTCAATGGCAACAGCCGCAACCGCAACAACAGCAGCAACAACAACAACAAATGGGTTTTTATTAGCTCTGCGACCTGGCGCAACAACAACGATGACAACCACAATAAAAATAGCCACATACAAAGCAAAGACGACGTCATTGATAAGAGTCTGTGCCGACGTCATAGTTAGGCATACATATGTATGTATGCTTGTGCATACGGTGCCTACGACAGAGCCAGCATCGAGCTTATCGCTGACGTAATGAAATGGCATGGCGGGTATCAGGCGGCAGCTGAAGTGCTTGCACAACCTCCTTGTGCCGCCGAGCTGTGCCACAAAGCAAATACATAAATAAAATAAAGCTATAAATACATAAAAATTAATGTTAGTGAAAGATGCTTAACATTTTCATTGAGTCAGCAACAGCAGCAGTGGGCAGGCGAGCAGGCGAGCAGCTTGGAGCTGCCACTGCGACTGCGACTGGGACGGGACTTGGGCCTGGAGATGGGCCTGGACTTGGGCCTGGGCTTGGGCTTGGGCTTGGCAACCGCCAGACGAAGACAAGGGCTGCAGTCAAATGCCTGCGGCACGTTGCCTTGCACAGTGCAACGAAAGGTAACAAAAAGGTTTCCTTAAACCAAAGCTATTCAAATGGGACTTATTTGTTATATTTAATATTTTATTAATCTAAATGATATAGGCCAGAGTTTTGTTTCAAATAACTGATTGACGGCGAGATGATCAATGCACTACAAGGCGGATATTTGTACTGAAGCTTTCTTTTGGTTCGAAAGTGAGCACTAAGACTAAGTTTTTAAAGTATTGTGTGAAGAACATCGCAAAGAACGTAGCAATTGAAATGCGAGCCTGTAAAGCTTAGCTGACGTAGCGTCGAACTAACAAGCGAGAGGTTGTCGGTTCAATATCCTATTATTAACAAAAAAACAAAGAAAAAAGCAATCATAACAAACTAAAAAAAAAAACAGTAAACAAATTAAAATGTAAGAGGAATAAACAAATATAGTTAAAATATTGCTGAGTCCCCTTGTGAATACATTTCTCAAGAACAGATTTGTTATCTAAAAATTTTATAAAAACACCGATTTGTTCGATTGATGTACAACCGTTGGTTTCTTGTCCAAAGCTTAATCTGCATATTTTCATTACACATTTTTAAATTGCTTTGAAATTGCAATGTAGATTAACGCTGCTCTGGGCATACCTCAGAAGAACCTTATCTCTGAAGATAATTGCATAACTGCCTTATCTACATTATTGTTGTCCTTAGTTTTGTCTACTAAGTATATCGCGTCTCGTACAATTAATGTAAGTTTCTGCTCTGGATTTATGGATTAATCAGGGAAATCACCAACTTAATCATAAATATATATTGTTCTCGTCCGGTCAAAACGGGGTCTGTGCAGAGAGGTAAAATAATGCCTAATATAAGTGTGCGTTAGCAGAGTTTTCGTTGTATTAAAGCTGGTAATCGATTTTAATCCCAGCCGGCACACAAATGTTTTCTTTAGCAGGAATCAAACCATGAAAAAAACGACAGCCTAGGTTCAAGAATGTGGCAAACGAAACAAACCCAAAGGCGGGGATTTGCTTCTAGCCGTGATCCTAACCAAAGACAATTTTATTTAGGTTTGCTGTCAGTTCAATATATCATTGATATTCAAAGCGTTTTGTTAACTAGCTTAAAGTATAAAGTTGTTTTAATGTGTTTGACATAAGTATTTTGAGTATTTTTCATTAGCTGATGGCATCTGCTACTGCCCCTGATCAGATCAAGCGCATACTGCTTGCAACCACTGTACGTTGCGTCTGCGACTTGAGCTCAGCCTTCGAAGGCGACCGCGACGGAGGCCGAGTCTCGGCCTGGTGTCAGCTCCGTCATCCTGTTGATTTGTGTTAAGGAAGCAAGTGCTTATGTCCATAGGAGTGTGAGTGTTGGTGTGTGTTATGAATGACGGCGGACCTACTTAGCCAGGGCGCTGTTGATGCTGCTGCTGATGCGGCTGCTGATGCTGATGCTGCTGGTGATGCTGCTGATGATGATCGGGGGCCTGATGATCATGATGGTGCTGTAGCGCTTAGATGGATGGCCACGAAAATTTATCATCAAGCGCGCCAGAAGACAAAGTAGCGGCCAAGCGGCCAAGCTTCCAAAAGCGTTCCATGGCGCATGCGCAAGGATCTAAAGAGCAGAGGCAAGTCTCAGTCGGGGTGCACAATTAAAATGTGTGCGCGCAGATGCAGATGCCTCGGATGCTTCACTATTTTGGCTCTGCTGCTCAGTCGCAGCCGCAGTCGCGGTCGCGGTCGCAGTCGCAGTCGCCGTCTGGGCTCGTTGCGGCTCGTTTCGAGTGTTGAAAAGTAAGGAAGCTTTAACAAATTACCGCCCAGTTGCCGGCACAACGAGATGTTTATAAAAGTTGTAAAAATTTGCCAAGCCAACACCAAGACGTTGGCCAAAAAGCCCAGACATACATCTCCATGTCGGCTGCAGTGCCTAGCGGCAAACTTGGGCGCACACAGCATGAGCGACAGCGGCAAGGAGTGCGACGGGCTGTGACGGGGTGCGAGGGGCACAGAGACGAAGGCGGCTGGCATTAAAGGAGTTTCAGGCTCTGCACTTGGCGCAGGCGCATCGCACTGCCAGACAATGCCAGCCACTGGCCAAGCACAGGCTGTGGCTATGGCTGTGGCTGCCGCTGCCGCTGAGCCCGGACCTGGTCCAGCATCGCGCCTGGTTGCCTTATAAAGTGAGCGTTGAGCGTCGAGCAAAGTTACTCATGTCATGACAGCAAACGAGCAAGCAGCAAACTTATGACTGAGTAATTGCTGGTGATATTTATGCGACGAAGCGTCCGAGGATGTGGCGGCAGCGGTGGCAGCGGCTGCGGTGACGGAAACTGCGTCGAAGCTGCCGCCGGATCTTTTGCAGTGCTTGCTGCTTATTATCATCGCTTGCCACACAGTGCATATCCCATGGCATATTGATTGGCCGCATCAGCAAAATTGAGACAGTCAAGTTTTTCACTCGCATCGATTTAAATACGATTTTCGATTTATCGGAATCAAAACTGAAAGATATCTGAATTAATTATTGAAATTTTGTTAAAATACGTAAGATTAATTTAATTATTATTTTAAGTTTCCTTAAAGACTGTTTTTTTTTTAATATTGTCTTCATTTTTGTTATTTGCCATCAAAAATATATAGAACTATGAAGACTTTTTTATCTCGATTTATTTGAATGAATGAACATAACATTTTAAAAAGAAGGAATACGCAAAATTGATTTGAATATATAAAACTAGAATTCAAATAACTTAAGTAAATATAAGTAAATCATTTTCAAATTTGGTTTTTTCAAAATTATTGTATAAGCATTCAATCAACATAATTGGCGTAGCACATTTTACAGCTTCAGATTTAAAAAAATATATTTTATATTATATATTATGTATTCCATATTCCATATTAAATATTAAACATAAAATTGCAATCTCTTCTATGTGATCTTTTATTTTAATATCCTGAACCCAAAATGGATATAAGGGTTATTATGTTTATTTTTTGACCTTTTTAAGTTTTTAGTTTTTAGAACAGCACACACATTTTAAAATGTCGTAATGCTAGTTGCTATTTGATGAATTAAACCTAGAAGCTACACAGAAAATCAATATAGAATAAAAAAAAAAAATAATAGTATAATTATAGTTGGGTATAACAAATACGTATCAAAGTGTGTCTATATCAAAATCTGTTTCATTAAAAATATAGACTACCTGTTTAAGGTGCGAATAGACGCCGAAAAGCGTGCGAGAAGTAATGAACAACAAAGGCCTAAACAAACCATTTATAAAAGCCAATTATCAAAGCTTACAATAATAATAATGGTAACGATAAATGATAATAATAAAATGTAATATTAGCTGCGAAAAAAATCAAACGAATATGTATGTCATTTCATGAATAATGTTTATAATTTCTTAAATAATATTTGTGGCTCCTTCGATTTCTAGGTCCGACTTCTACAACTCTTACAGCTATATTTTGGTTAAACATGGAAAAGTGTAGGTGATTTACACATTCGTTGGGCCTGTAATATTTTCAGTCCATTTGTGCTTGAAGCGTTGTGGAGCACACACACACACACACGCACGACAACTTACACACATGCGTATGCGTGTTTTTCGTTTGTTTTAGTGGTTGTTGTTGTTGTTGCTGCTGTTGTTGCCGCTGCTCGCATAACATCACATACTGCAAAACAGTGTGTTTGCTGTCTTTTGGAATGTAAATCATTCGCTAAGTACGCTTGATTTAGGCGACCATCACACTACATTCTTCGACCGAGTCATGCACTGAGCCGAGATGGAGCTTGGAGTTGGAGTTGGACTTGGACTTGGAGTTGGAGTCTCGGCCAGTCACTGGCATACTGACAGATGGCTGCTCGTACGTCTGCCTGGGCTGGCTGGCTGGCTGGTTGGCTGGCTGGCTGACTGACTGGCTGGCTGGCTGGCTGACTGACTGTCTGAATGTTTGGATGTTACAATGCAGATACATGAGTACTTTCGAAGCTGCGACGGTGACGGCAATGATGACGATGTTGACGAGGCTGTGGCCTGACGACGAAAGCAATACGCCATACATAACTCATCGCACATAATGAGACTGCAATAATTCACTTGCTCTGCATGCTCGTGATCCTCGCGGCGGCCAGTGCATATAAAGACACAAGCCAGCCGAGGCACTGTTATAACAACAACAACAACAACAACCCGACCAAGACGGCGGCCAAGACCAAGACCAAGACCGAGACCAAGACCGAGACCAAGAGCGAAACTGAAACGGAGCTGGCAGAGCTGCAGCCGCTTGGATTCTCCACGATCGTCCGCAGTTGGAAATCTTCATGCACTCCTAGTTTTCTGTAATTAAGTGTAATGAGCGTAATTGCTAATGTGTGTGGAGCGCACGCTGCCACAGAGATCTGCTTACTGGATGCTGCCAACTGCCTACTGCCAAGTGCCTACTGGTTGCTGGCCAGGTCTGTGTGCGATTGCGTTTGCGATTTAGTTATAGCCTCGTTCACTTTGCCGGGCCGTCTTCGAGCTGGAGCTGGAGTTGCACTTGATCTTGGCTTGGCTGGGCTTGGCTTGGCTTGGCTCGGCTTGGCTTGGTGTGGACTGGCTTTGGCTTTTGTATTGGCATTGCTATTGGTATCGGCTCGATTTCGTTTCATTTCGCTTAGCCTGGCCAGCACGGCCCGGCTTGGCCCGACTCGCATCGTGTGTGCACAACAAGTGAAATTAAAATGTATGACAAAGTGCGTGCAATAATTCGTGCAAGTTTAATGAGTCTCCGCAATGTGGAC